CTGCTAAACAAATAATTCCCTCAACACTGTCAAACTATTCACTAAGTCTGCATTACTATTAATCTTCTCATCGTTCCCACCCATCTCCTTCCACTTACGACTGTATGACTGTAACCTTGTTGCTTGTATCCTTAAGATTTATATTGACTGTTTCCTAATACGATTTGATTGCTTATTTGTTCCCTATAACTATCATTATGTGTTGTACCTTATGATTCTTGATGAACTTATCTTTTCTTTTATGTACACTGAGAGCGTATGCACCAAAGGCAAATTCCTTGTGTGTCCAATCACACTTGTCCAATAAAAAATTATATTCTATTCTAAATGTTATTCAGCATAAATGAGATGTTTCAGACCAGAGCAGTCTGGAGATGTAGCGCAGAGGCTGGTCTTTAAGCCACGTTTGATAAAGCTAAATTTATTTCACTCTGCTCCATTGGCTAGCAGTATACCGTAATGTCATTTATTCGACCTCTGCTCAGTGTGACTTCATAAAATAGTTTCTTGCACGGTTTTTTAGTAGCAGACCATAATGGTTTATCGTTACTTTTTTGCTTGTTCCCCCATGTAGTCCAATATTTCTCAACCTTGCCAACTTTAAGGCGTGCAGACTTCAGCTCCCAGAATTCCCAACCAACTGATGTAACCCACTGCCTTGTGGTCTTCCTAACTGGGTTCAACTTGTTTGTGATCTACCAAGGTTGGCAAGATGTTCCATATAGTTAGATATAAATAAAGTCTCTTCTAAAATAGGACTTGTGCGATAACAATTCATTTGTTTATTAAATGTATAGGCTATCCCAATCAGATATGTCTAGGTGGCTTACAAAACATAATAAATACAGACAATAGAAACACCATACAAGAGGGCATAAAAATAATCTGGAGAAAATCAGCGAATTTCAAAAACCAGGGCTCCATCAGCCACAGGATGAGGTCTCAATGTTTCCTGATTGCTTATTTGTACCCTATGACTATCATTATCATTAAGTGTTGTACCTTATGATTCTTGACGAATGAATCTTTTCTTTATGTATACCGAGAGCATATGCACCAAGACAAATTCCTTGTGTGTCCAATCACACTTGGCCAATAAAAAAATTCTATTCTATTCTATTCTATTCTATTCTATTCTATTCTATTCTATTCTATTCTCAAAGACTCTTTGGGAGGACTTGAGTGAGAGCAGTACAAATTGGAGGGGGGAGGGGGAACTGATGTTTCAGGGAGGGTATTTTGGCAGTTTTACAACAGTTTTTGTAGCCTGTTTGAATCAGAAGTATATGCATTGATTACAAAGAATGAAATATAAAAGAATATGATGAAATGGACTAAGGACATTGGACACAATACAGATAATCCTTGAGTTATAATACAGGTAGTCCTCAATTTACCACAATTGAGCTCATAATTTCTGTTGTTAAGTGAGACATTTGTTAAGTGAAGTTTGCCCCCTCTCATGACCTTTCTTGCCCCAGTTGTTAAGTGAACCACTGCAGTTGTTAAGTTAGCAACACGGTTGTTAAGTTACTTCCCCATTGTGAGATATAAGACCCAAATATTTTAATCCTCACAATTCATAAACAAGTCTGGTTCACAAAATCAAAGGTTCATTGGAGATAAAATGAAGAAAAATAAAAAGCAGTTGCAAGTGCGACCTCTTAGACCCTTCCCAAATGGATTGAATTCAAAGAGCGCAGGAAACAGTTTTCAAGCTACACATTTTATACTCCTACACAATGCACGCCACGCCTAAGAAGCCTTCCCAACTCCCCTTTATTCTCCTAAATCCTTCTCCAAGTTGTTTTATACTTTAAAGGGTCATCTTGACATTTCCTGCCTAACAACAACTATCTTATCATGTTTACTTTTAATGTTCACCTTGAGCGGATGTTCCTTTCTTACTGATAGTGGTCTTGTCCAAGGCATAGGTTCCTGTCTCCAAGGGAGCTTTTAGCAAGTCATAACACATTGTCTCTACTGATTACAATTGGTGGTCACTTTGCAACAGTAAGAACATCATAGCTTTTTAATACATTAAAACACTTTTATAAAAGAGTAACTTATTATTCATTTCCTTCACCATTGACTTTGCTTGTCAGGAGGTCGCAAAAGGTGATTCCAGGGCACGGCAACTGTCATAAATATGAGTCAGTGGCCAAGCAGATGAATTTTGATCATGCGTCTATGGGGATGTTGCAATGGTTATGGTCCTGTCACTTTCTTCAGTGCCATTGTAACTTCGAACTATCATTAAACAAACTTGTAAGTCGACTATCTCTAGCAATAGCACTTAGACTTATATACTGCTTCACAGTGCTTTACAGTCCTCTGTAAGCGGTTTACAGAGTCAGCATATTGTCCCCCAACAATCTGAGTCTTAATTTTACCAACTTTGGAAGGATGGAAGGCTGAGTCAACCTTGAGCCTGGTGAGATTCAAATTCCTCAATAAAAGACCAGAATTTCCATTGCTAATCAATGTGGCCATAAAGCATGCCATCATTTGACTGCATTGCTTAGTGATGGCAATCCCAGCATTACTGTTAGCCCTAAACATCTGCAAGATCTGCTAGTCTGGTGTGCCTCCCAAATAGAATCCAAGCTGGAAAGGTAGATTAATAGCTGTTTATATATAAACAAAGAGAGGCACCTCATAGATAAAAAGTGAGGAGCCTCTTAGAACGGTAGGGAATCATTTTATATACAGTTCAAACACATTGGGTTTGGAGTGAATTCCTTCATTGGTTAGCATCATTTGATTCATCTATGATCTTGCATGCATGCTCAGTAACTTTATATGTACCACATTACATTTCATAGCATTCCATCATAGTATGATCTTGTTAATGCTCATCCTCATTCATAAGGTGTAGTTTTTACATTATAGTGAAGCATAACGGGTTTGCAAGTTTCTAGAGTTCAAATCTTTGTACAGTTCTTGTCTTTAGCAGGTTTGAACCGGTTCTTAATCAGATTTTCACATTCTTCATGGAAAATTTGCTTTGTTACTTCTAAGAACTGAAAACTTTCATCAAAGACACCCCTAGTTACTGAAAACGTTAAGACCCCCCCCTCATGCTCCCATCAGTACCTGTTGCCAGTTTTAACTGAATTCCATTGGTTGTTCAATGAATACCCACCCTGATCCAAGAGAAAGGCATTTATTAAAAGGGAGGGATAAGTCTTTATGTAGGGTATAGAACAGAGGTGGGTTTCAGCAGGTTCTGACCAGTTCTGGAGAACTGGTAGCGGAAATTTTGAGTAGTTCGGAGAACCGGTAGTAAAAATTCCGACTGGCCCCACCCCCATCTATTCTCTGCCTCCCGAGTCCCAGCTGATTGGGAGGAAATGGAGATTTTGCAGTAACCTTCCCCTGGAGTGGGATGGGAATGGAGATTTTACAATATCCTTCCCCTGCCATGCCTACCAAGCCACGCCCACCAAGCCATAACACGCCCACCAAGCCACACCCACAGAACCGGTAGTTTTTTACCGGTAGTAAAAAAATTTGAAACTCACCACTGGTATAGAAAGAAACAATACATACTTTTGGTACATGTGAGGCATCAGAAAACAACAAATCAAACCATAATAGATATTGATTGGACATGAGGAAAGACAGATACCCTATCAGAGCCTTGATAGTACAGTGGTTTAGTGCACCCTGTTATTAACACAGCTGCCTGCAATTTCTGCTGGTTCGAATCTCTCCAAGGCTCAAGGTTGACTCAGCCTTCCATCCTTTCTAAGGTAGGTGAAATGAGGACCCAGTTTGTGGGGGCAATAAACTGACTTTGTATAAAATATACAAAAGAATGAAGGCTATTGCTTAACGCATTGTAAGCCGCCCTGAGTCTCCGGAGAAGGGCGGCATATAAATCAAATTAAAAAAAAAAAAAAGGTGTTGCAGCTTCTCCTTTTCCCTCTGGGCTTATTTAATGCTTGCAGCACTCAAATATTCCAGAATAAAACCCGACTGTTTAGTTTCTACATATGCTAGTTTTTGCACAACAAAGTAAATGGTTTTGGCTAAAAAAAAAACATGGTTTCCTGAACTTCAAAAGGAGGCATGGGTGCTATGCTAAAATGCTAATATCTTTATTAAACAGCAAATAATACCACCGCATTGCATAGTGACAGTAAACCTGGTTCCAATTGCTGTTGTAATTTGTGGACTACCTGTTAAAAGCTTAGCACAAGAGGTCCATCTTGGCTGATTTTTAAAATGTCCTGGGGGGGCGGCACATGAATTTCCCAAAATGTGGGGCTGCCAGCTGGGCTGTTTCCCCTTAACTTCTATTGGCTACAGCAGAGTTCACCCAATTCTGGTGGCCCGGAGCAGGGGAAGGGGGGAAAGGGGGGATTATTTTGTGTGAGGGGCAAGCACATGCATGCGTGCACATGAGTGCCCACGACATTTACGACATGAGCATGAGTGTATGAGAGCGCCCGCAATGACGCAAGTGAAGCGTGTGCGCAAGTGATGCAGAGGTGCACGTACTGGCTGGCCTCTCACGCAGCCCAGTGGCGATTAGCCTGTGGCCTGGTAGTACAGGTTGGGGACCTCTGGGCTACAGGGAGGAGTGGGGGGATGTTTAATGATCCTCATAAGAAGTTCTTCCTGGACAAGCACATTCGGCTTTTGCAGGTGAGGCTGTATTTGTTGTATGGATGTGATATGCATTAGCTTTCTTTTAGATAATTGTTTCTCAATCATGGTCACTTTAAGATGAGTGGACTTTAACTCCCAGAATTCCCCAGCCAGCCTGGCTGGGGATTTCTGGGAATTGAAGTCCATCCATCTCAGAGTGGCCAAGTTTGAGAAACACTGTTTTAGAGTGTTCTTAATCTTTTCTGTCTAGTTTTCATGTTAATGCTGGATGGATCTAACCCAATAACTCACAGGAGACAATGGAATCTCTTCATCAATTCTTTATTCTAGGCCTGGAGTCCTCCTAGGCCCAATTCGGGGTAAAGGTCACTGACCTCTATCTTGTCTTTGCAGGCACACATCTGGAACTGCTGGATGCCCACGTGTAGAACCCTTTTATACATCGGGGGACGAGTCTGAGGTAAGGGGGTATGATGGGATATGGGGAGGTGCCAGCCCCTGCCTGGGAGAATTAGACATTTACCCTGACAAATCCCCCTCTAAATGTCTAATTAACGATGGACATATGATATCTGTAAACATACATGTTAGATATATAAAACACATGATCTACATATATACACATATTTTTGATGTGAGGTATGCGTGTTGCTTTTGAGGTTGTGGTTTTGTGAGTATGTCTGCTGTTTGTTGTTCAGTGTCATATATATGGCTTTAATGAACCCCATTTCTGAGAATTGCCTAACGTGTTTATATTTTATGTCTATGTGCCTTGATCTCTGTCCCACGGCATCTTCTTTTGATATTTCTATAGCTGCCTTGTTGTCTTCATGTATGGCTATGGGGTATGTTGGTTCGGCCCAGATGTCAGTAAGTAAATCATCAAACCACACTAGGTTATTTGCGGCTTTTGATAAGCAGATGAATTCGGCTTTGGTGGTAGAAGTGGCCACCAGCTTCTGTTTTCCTGTATACCAATGTATAGGGCAATTGTTTAAGAAGACTACGTACCCGGAAGTGCTTTTTCTGCTTTTGGCATCCCCAGCCCAGTCAGCATCTGCATAGCAGGTTAACTTGGGTTTCTCGGACAGGTCTGGTTCGAGGCACAGCTGGGCATTGGCACTGTGTTTCAGGTACCTGAGCAGTCTTTTTATGGCTGCCCAGTGCAGGACAGTGGGCTTGCTCACGTGTCTGGACAGTAGATTGACGGCCAGAGCGATGTCAAGCCTCGTCCAGTTGGCAATGTAGAGTAGCGAGCCTATTGTTGACCTGTACAGCTTGTTGTCAACGAAGGGTTCAGCTTCATTGTACATGCTCCTTATGAAGTCCGGTTGCATGGGTGTCTCGCAGGGTTTTCTCCTGACATGTTGCATTTGGATAACAGTTCCATGATTTTCTCTCTTTGTGAGATCCGGAAGCCCTTGTCAGTTTTAATTACTTGCACCCCTAGGTACTTGTCTATCTTCCCTAGTGACTTCAGAGAGAAATGATTTCCTAACTCGGTGGCAAATTTATTGCATTTGGCCCTTTGCTTCCCTATGTACAATATATCATCCACATACACAAGAACACCTTCGAATGCTCCTCCCTCTCTCTTTGTGAAAAAACATTTGTCTGCAGAGGTGGCTTTGAAGCCCATGGTGTTGAGAGCTTTGGCTAGACAGTCTTACCACCTCTTGCCAGACTGAGTCCATATAAACTTTTGTTCAGGAGCCATGTGTTGTCCTTTCCATCATTGTATCCTGGTGGGGCCTTAACATAGATTTCCTTATCCAGTTCTGCGTGTACATATGCGGTTTGCACGTCGAATTGGAATACTTCCAGCCCTAGGATGGTGGCAATTACTAGGGCGCTCTTGACACTCTTGGCCCTGATTGTGGGGGAGTAGGTGTCTGTGTAGTCTTCCGGGTATCTTTGGGCGAAGCTTTGTGCAACCAGCCTCGCTTTGTAGAGTGTTTTGTTGTCTTCGAGTGTTTTGACTTTGAACACCCACTTGGTCCCAATTGGCTTTTTGTTCTCAGGTATTTGAGCTGGCGAGTATACCTGTAGGTCTCGGAGGCTCTCCATCTCCTTTTCCATGGCTTGTTTCCATCTTTCCCTCTCTTCCTGGGGGAGGCCAAGTATCTCTTCGTAGGAACTGGGTGTGAAATGCTCTGTGTGTATGGACATGACGTAGTCCTCTAGTCTCTTTGGTAACTTGTTCCTACTGGATCTAGTTGGTCTGTCTGGAGGCGTATCTGCTTCATGCAGGCATTCGGCTTCTTTTTTGGAGAGGCTATCTAGGTTCAGTGTGGGGTGTCCTTCTTTCCATTCCTCGGCTTTCAGTTCTTGGTGTTTGGGTCTGTCTGTTTCAGTTTCCTCTGGCCCCCTGGTGGTCAGTTCTTTGTCACTTTGGTTATGTGGTTGCATGTCTCTGCCAAGGAAAATGTCATTGCAGTGGAGCTTTGACCAATTCGAGTGCTCATGGAATTCCGCAGACCTGGATACAATGAATTTGTTATTGCAGTCCACAAATCTGAATCCCTTTGTCCCAGGCTCATAGCCCACGAACCTTAGTCTTTTTGACACCTTTTCTCCCTTCTTTCTTAGCTGTCGGGGAATGTGGACGTCAGCTGGGGCACCAAATACGTGTAGGTGGGCTAGGTTGGGTTTTCTATTGTACATTAGTTCGTATGGGGTTTTATTGATTGAGCTTGACCACAACCTGTTTAGTGTGTAATTTGAATTAGTGTAATGCCTCTGACCAGAATGATTGGTTCATTTCAGCATCCTCCAAAACACACCTCATCATTGTTTGGAGTAGGCCGTTTTTCCGTTCTGAGACCCCATTCTGGAATGGGGAAAAGGGGGTGGAGCTAAAATGCAATATGCCCCTCTCCCTTAACCATTTTGCAAAGTCCTTGGCCATGAATTCTGTGCCCCGGTCAGTCATTATCTGTTTGATTTTCACCCCATGTTGTAGTTCCACCCTTTTATAAAAGTCTTTGAACCTTTGGAATGTCTCATTTTTATGTTTGAGAGAGTACACAGAGCCATACCTGCTGTAGTCGTCTACTATGGTTAGGAAAAACCTTTTCCTGTGTCCAATGGAAGGTCTCAGAGGTCCCACTAAATCCATGTGTACTAGCTGAAATGGGTGGTCAGTTGTGCGCTCTGACCTTTTGGGCCTCGCTTTGACCTTAATTTTTGAAGATTTACACACTGAACACTCCAAATAATTTTTGCAGTCCTTTACTTTCAAACCCTCTGTACATCCTAGCATTTTTTTCTACATCCGGGAAACTGATATGTCCTAGGCTTTTGTGAAGGAGGTGGGCACAATTGTCGTGGATGGGTTTTCCCACGGATACCTTGTTTTTGCCTGGTGACACAGTGTTTGTTTCCTCCTGGGGTCCCCCTCTAGTTTCAGTGTCTCCCCCCTGCTCATGGGTGATGCTTGTGTTTATACTTCCCTCGTTGTTCTCACTGGGTGTAAAGTACGGTAATCCATCATGTGTGGTTACCTTGCCAACCCTTTTTCCTTGGTTGAGTATCTGTACCCTGCCTTCCTTGAATGTTACCTCTGTGTCTGTGTCTGTTGTGAGCTTTGCGATGGCTAAGACATTGTGGGGTATTTCCGGTACGTACAGTACCCCCTCTATTTTCCCAACCCCTGGTATATGTACATTCCCTCTCCCTATGACGTTGGCTGTGCTCTGGTTAGCCATTCTGATCTTGAAGTCTGTCTCTACGAGGGAGGTGAATAGATTGGGATTGTGTGTTGTATGATTAGTGGCTCCTGAATCCAGAAGCCACATGTTCTCATCTGTCCCCTGCTTGGGGTCTGCTTTACCATGCCTGAAGCCGTACATGGTCCCTGGGTTGCTATCTCTGGAAGCATCCCTGCATTCACTGCTTTTTCTAGGGTTGGGCGACCACCCACGTCCCCGTTTCCTGAAATGTCTGCGGTCTGGTGACCGTCTCTCTCTTTATCCCCTGTCCCTATCACCTCTGGGGCAATCCCTCCTTAAATGATTCCTGGACCCACAGGAAAAACACTCTGGGGCAACCTTTCCCCTGTCCCGGAACTCAACCCTTTTGGTGGGTCTGGGGTCCCTTCTTGACATGTGGCGGTCCCTCCTTAAATTATCCTCTGCAATAAGGCGGTTAGTGAGTGTGTCTAATGTTAAGTGTTCTAGACTGAGACTGTCCAATTGCATCACAAAGTTGTCCCAGCTACTGTCTAAAGAGTTTATGACTATACTCATCATACTCTCCTCAGTGATTGCTTCACCCCTATGCATTAATTCAGTCCTGGTTGCGTTAAGTTTTAACAGGTGTTCACTCATGGGGACCCCTGGTCTAAGTCTGGCAGAATGGAATTCTCTGGAAATCCTAGTTGTGGTTGCTCTACTTCTGCTGTAAAAAAGGTTATAAAGTTTTTGTATCACTTCATGCACTGTCATGTGATTCCCTATGCTTAGGTACAAAGTTGGAGAAATACTGGTTAACAAAATACAAAAAGCCCTGTGGTGGTTACAGTCAATTTCAAAAGTCCAGGGTTTCTGGGGTGGATCTGATATTAGGAAAAGTAAGTTTTCTTTCATAAAAACTATCTGCAGCTGTTGACTCCACTCTAGAAGATTTTTTCCATCTATTTGCAGTTTGGGAAAGTTGACAGGTAAAGCCCCAGAGTTGTTAGAATGGTTACTTACAGAGGGTAGCTGTCCATGGTTTTGTGAGTGAGGGAACTCACAATATGGCATGGGAATGGCTATTCTGTACTGACTTGTTTCTATGTTCTGACTTATCTCTATGTTCCTCCCTTCTCTTCCTGCAGGTGGCGTCTGAGCATGTGCGAGGCCCATTTCACGCTGGAGGCCGTCCGGAGGGGAGCTCGTGGCTGCAGTTCTCAGGCCTAGGCCTAGGCCTGCTGGTGGAGCGCTTGACTCACCCCTGGTGGGTCTGGATGCGTCGTGGGACCCTGGAAGTCGCTGCTGGGCTGTTTAGTCCCCGGCGAAGAATGGCTGGAGGCTCGGGATCGAAGCGGTAATAAGTCGAGGACTTTCGAGGATCGGTGGCGCGGCGATGGCTGGTCCTGATCCGGATGTGCTGGCCCCTGGTTGGTTGGAGAAGCCTGGCGGAGGTCGCGGAGCAGGTAAGCAGCTGGCGCGTCTCTCTTCTCTTGGATCCCTCGTAGTTAGTGAGGCGGGTGGTGAGTTCGAGTCCTGCCTTTGTTCTACTCCATAGGCGGTCGGGGTTTCTTTCTCGTCGTGGAAGCACGTTGACCCCTTTGGTAGTGATAGGGTTGGTGTCTCGTAGCCGGTGGTCACTCTGGTGCCTTCTTGGCCCTCGAGGTTTTCCTTGCGGCTTGCGGTTAGTGCGGGAGGCTTGAATGTGGAGCCAAAGGCTGCCGCTAGAGTCTCTATTGCTTTCTGTATCTCGAGCATGCTAGGCAAGTTCTGATTTACTTGGATTTGTCTATTGCAGTTATTTTCGGGGTGCCCCTCGTTCATTTCAGGGCCTTGGCTGGTTCCCGCCATTGGATTCAAATCCCGGCCTCCCATTGGTTGCTGGCCATTCCAAGATGGCCGCCGGGAAATTGGCGCGAAACTGAGCCCCTCTATGTCCGGGGCCTCTGCGAGGGAATCCCTTTCCCTTACCGGGCTGGCGTCTTCTTGGGTGCTCATCGCTGCTCCATGGGTTTCTAGGAGGCCTTGGAGTTTCGTGATGAGCTCTCCATTGCTGATGGGCGCTTCCATCATTTTCAGCAGGGCCATTCTCAGTTCGTCTTCTTCTCGTGGCTCTTCTCTTTCGTGATCATCTGCTTCCTCCCGTGGTCTCTCTTTGCAGAGGAGTGGGCCCGGCTCGATGTCCTGTCCACTTTCAGCTGGGGTGGCTCTTGGCATGGCACCTTTGGGTGTCAGTTGAGCAGCCATCCTCTTTTTTTTTTATTTATTTATTATTTTTAACATTTTATATTTTAAATTACTAACATTACAAACAACATATACAATATTTCACCCTGTGCTATACATAAGAAAGGAAGATTTGGTTCTTCGGATATATCCTCATGATCGCCAAAATCCACGTTCTCGGGGTACAGGTACCGAAGCATCCAATTTTCCCAGCGCATAGTCCACAAATGGTTTCCAAATTTTCCAGAAAATGTCTTCTTTATAGTCACCATTTCTAATTTTAATATCACATGTCATTTTATCATTTAAAGCTAATTTCCACATTTCACAATACTATTCTTCTATTCTAAAATTCACATCTAATTTCCAATATCTGGCTATTATAATTCTACCCATTATAATCATAATTCTAATCAATTCTTTCTCATATTTTGTTGGTTCTATTTCCTTAATTATCAACAGTAATATAGTTTCTGGTCTCAATATTATTGCTTTCCCCATCATTTCAAATATCATTTCCTCCAATTGTTGCCAAAACTTTTTAACTTTATCACATTTGTACCACATATGTTCATAAGTCCCTAGCAGCCATCCTCTTGGTGAATGCCCTGGTGTTTACTCTGCTCTTCTTATCAGAGTAAGCGGCTTGTTCGGTCATTCTTTAGAGTTATGGGCAACCATCCTCTGCTGCCATTTTGTTAATGCTGGATGGATCTAACCCAATAACTCACAGGAGACAATGGAATCTCTTCATCAATTCTTTATTCTGGGCCTGGAGTCCTCCTAGGCCCAATTCAGGGTAAAGGTCACTGACCTCTGTCTTGTCTTTGCAGGCACACATCTGGAACTGCTGGATGCCCACGTGTAGGACCCTTTTATACATCGGGGTGGAGTCTGAGGTAAGGGGGTATGATGGGATATGGGGAGGTGCCAGCCCCTGCCTGGGAGAATTAGACATTTACCCTGACATTTCAGCTGGGGATTTCCTTGAGGTTTTCTCATCCAATCTGATAAGAGTCTATTTTTCCCTAACGCCCTCCTTCTAGATCAGGGCAGAGGTGGGTTTCAGCAGGTTCTGACCAGTTCTGGAAAACCGGTAGTGGAAATTTTGAGTAGTTCGGAGAACCGGTAGTAAAAATTCTGACTGGCCCCGCCCCCAACTCTTCTCTGCCTCCCGAGTTCCAGCTGATCAGGAGGAAATGGGGATTTTGCAGTAATATTCCCCTGCCACATCCACCATGCCATGCCCACCAAGCCATGCCACGCCCACCAAGCCACACCCACAGAACTGGTAGTAAAAAAATTTGAAACCGACCACTGGATCAGGGGTGTCAAACTGAATTTCTTCAAGGGCCGGATTAGCGTTGTAGTTCTTTGCGGGCCAGCGGGGGATGGGGGGAGATGGGACGGACGCCTCCTGCAGCACCCTGCCATTTTTGGCAGGCAGAGTTATGCTGGAGGCCATGAAGGCTGAAAACGGGCCTTGTGGGGGGGCTTTGCGAGGCCTCTGCGTGGCCCGTTTATGGCCGGTAGAATGCTACAGGAGGCCATGGAGCCGAAAATGGGCCGCAGGGGGGCTGCATGCACACCTCCACGGCTTGTTTTGGCCAGCAGAGGCACAGCGGGCTGGTCTTTTGATATTTCCAGGCCGACACCATGGACCAGATTTAGGCAACCCTATTCTAGATGCACTGCAGATAGAATGACTTGATGCACACACCCAGTTTAAGGATCCTTGCAATAAATGGCTATACATGTAGTGCTTGACTTAAAACCATTTGTTTAGCAATCATTCAAATTACAATGGCACTGAAAAAGTGATTTACAAGCAGTCCATGCACTTACCACCATTGCATTATCAAACTTTATCAAACTTCAGATGCTTGGAAACTGGCTTGTATTTACGATGGTTGCAGTGTCCTGGGGTCATGTGATCACCATGTGCAACCCTCCCAGCTGGCTTCTGACAAGGAAAGAGGGAAGCCGGAATCAATTAATGACCACATAATTCACTTAACAACAGCCTTGCTTAGCAACAGAAATGTTACTTTCAATCAGTTGTAAGTTGAGAACTACCTCTAAAACGGTAACAGAAAAGAGAAGACATACGAGAGGCATGGTTTTGTACAGTTTTAAATAATTCTGTTCATTTTGTTTATTTACACTTTAATTTTATGGGTGCTGTTTGGAAATTAGCAACTTGTCAATAATTTCAACAAATACCTCAACAAGTCTCGAACCTCTATTATTTATTCATTTATTTATTTATTGAATTTGTATACCGCCCTACTCCCAAAGGACTCAGGGCGGTGAACAGCCAAAAGGTAAAATACATATAATACAAATGTTAAAAAACCATTAAAATACAATTAAATAATTTGGCCCAGAAAACAAAATTTAAAACACCCCAAATTTATAAGACAAATATAAAATTAAAAAAATTTAAAACAGTTTAAAAGAGAGGTTAGGCCAGGCCGGCCTGCTGGAATAGGAATGTTTTGAGGGCACGGCGGAAAGCGCGCAGATCCGGGATCCTCCGTATCTCCGGGGGGAGCTCGTTCCAGATGGCGGGTGCCCCCACAGAGAAGGCTCTCTCCCTGGGGGCTGCCAGTCGACACTGTTTGACCGACAGCACCCTAAGAAGCCCCTCTCTATGGGAGCGTACTGGTCGGTGAGAGGCTACTGGTGGCAGAAGGCGGTCTCGAAGATATCCCGGTCCTAAGCCATGGAGCGCTCTAAAGGTGGTAACCAAAACCTTGAAGCGCACCCGGAAGATCACCAGGAGCCAGTGCAGCTCGCGCAGGAGGGGGGTCCCATGGGAGTGCCACGTCACTCCATAACCACCCGCGTGGCTGCATATTAGGGGATAGTATCATCCCTGCTGCATTCAAAGGTTGTCTTCCCACACTGGGATGGGCTGACTGCTGTCAGAGATGAAGAACAAGATAGCAGTTCCATATTAGGGTCACCCTCAGTGGACAAATTCTTCAGTATTGCTGACGTGCAGGTATCAAAAGGGGCAGATCTTGCATCGCTGTATCTGCCATTTTGCCTTTTTTGACACTCCCTCCCCAACACCAGCAAGCTGTGTAATGCAACAGTTCTCTCTTCCGATATCTTCAGATCAATCCCACCCCTCTAATGTCTAAGTCAGGGGTCTCCAACTTGGCAACTTTAAGACTTACAGACTTCAATAGCCAGCATGGGGAAGTTGAAGTCCACAAGTCTTAAAGTTGCCAAGTTTGGAGACCCCTGGCTTAAGCCATAGTCCCACCTGCCCTACCATTGCAACCTTCAGTATTCTTGATGGGTATGGAAGAAATGTGAAAGCCTGATGTTTAGTTGCCCAATAGTCTGTATCGTTTGGTTGCAGCAGAAATGCAGTTTTCTACTGCTCTCTGCTGGCAGAAACTGAAATGATGTTGAACAGAGACACACCTTCTATCACACTAATGATGGCATTCACCTGGCTCATCAGTTCACTGCTTACACACCATTATCCAATTTCTCCCACCATTCCTAAATTGGATCCCTCTTTTGGCTCAATTGCAGCCAAGCCATGATTAAAGTGGTATCAAATAATTATCTTTCCAAGTACAATTAGTTCTTGACTTATGACCACAATTGGGACCAGAATTTCTTTGCTAATCAAAGTGGTTGTTAAGTGGATCATGCCTAATTTTGCTAAAAAAAATTTACAATGCTTGTTAGGTGAATCATAGTTAAGCAAATCTGTCTTCCCTCTTTGACTTTGCTTGTTGGATTGGGAATTCTGAGAGGTGAAGTCCATTCCAAGTTGGCAAGTTTGAAAAATATTGTGGAGGTAGGTAGGTAGGGTGGGGGGAGAGAGAAAGAGAGTGCTCACAGATAGATGTGGATTGCTATGGTAAGAACCTGAATACTAATTATAATTATTTTCCAGATTGATACGGGAATTGGAGTTTGGCCAGGCCTCCTCCTTTTTGAAGCTTGATATATTGGAAGAACACATACACACAAAAGAAAAGATTTGCTGCCAAAGAAGGAAGAAGCTTCATTTGAAAATAAATCAGTCTCTGGGTATTCTTGAGCTATAGCTTAATTCATTCTTTCTAATAAGCCTCATTAATCAGAACCTTTAGGCTGATTTTGGAGATTAATGACTTCTGGCCAGACTTTGTAAGAGGAAAATTCGACAAACCCCTACTGGCAGGCAATCACACTACTATATTTATTTATCTATTTATTGATTTCATGTACATAACTTCAAACCCATAACCTCGTTGGCCATTTTTAGCAATAAAAGACTTTGAAACAGAAGCTATTAAAAATGCCAGCAAATTTCAGTGTAGCAGAAGTTAAAAATGTTAGTCATGACACTCCAATCGCTCTAACAATCTATTTATTTTATTTTAATTTTATTTTATTTTGAATTTGTATACCGCCCTTCTCCCTGAGGACTCAGGGCGGTGAACAGCCAAATAAAAACATCAATTACAAATATTAAAATACAGTTAAAAATATATAGAGAGATTTGGCCCCATTAATTAAAACGATAAACAAAACAATTAAAAACACTTAAAAAGAATTAGGCCAGCTCGACTTGTTGGAAAAAGAAGGTTTTAAGGGCTCGGCGGAAGGCACTGAGGTCATGGATTCTCCTTATCTCTGGGGGCAACTGATTCCAGAGGGTGGGTGCCCCCACAGAGAAGGCCCTCCCCCTGGGGATCACCAGCCTGCATTGTTTGGCTGATGGCACCCCGAGGAGGCCCTCTCTGTGGGAGCGCACGGGTCAATGGGAGGTCGTCGGTGGCAGTAGGCGGTCTCGAAGATAGCTAGGCCCTATGCCATGGAGCGCTTTAAAGGTGATAACCAACACCTTGAAGCGCACCCGGAAGACCACCGGGAGGCAGTGCAGTTCACGCAGGAGCGGTGTTATATGGGAGCGCCACGCTGCTCCCGTCACTACCTGCGCTGCTACATTCTGGACCAGTTGGAGCCTCCGGGTGCTCTTCAAGGGGAGCCCCATGTAGAGAGCGTTGCAGTAATCAAGGCGAGAGGTTACGAGGGCATGAGTGACTGTGCACAGGGAATCCCGATCAAGAAAGGGCCGCAACTGGCGGATCAGGCGAACCTGATAAAAGGTCCCCCTGGTTACAGCCGTCAGATGTTCCTCCAAGGACAGCTGCATATCCAGGAGGACTCCCAGATTGCGAGCCCTTTCTGTGGGGGCCAAAGACTCGCCCCCAATAGTCAGTGATGGAGTCAACTGACTATATCGGGATGCCAGCCACTCAGTCTTGGAAGGGTTGAGCTTGAGCCTGTTCCTCCCCATCCAGATCCGTACAGCCTCCAGGCACTGGGACATCACTTCAAGGGCATCGTTGGGGTGGCCTGGGGTGGAGATCTAACTGGGTTAGAAGATTTTGTGAGCCCATATGGAGTAGTTGAGCTGCCTCTGATGCAAGATCTTTTATTATATAATTATCATGTTTTATTTTTATAAATCTGATTGGCTTTTTTTCATTTTTGAACTAATGGGTGGTGTAGAAATTTAATTAATAAATAAATATGGGCTGGATCCATCTGTAAGAAGATGAGGTCTTCTGAAGGACACCTGTTCACCTTGGTGCTTTGATTTTAGAAGTAACTGGCTGATGACTTTTCAAGCAGATGTTGCAGTGGACATGTGTTAAATCTCATTCAGCAGACAGGTCTCATTATGTTTATTATTTTACTGTTTTTTACCTGTGCATTTTGCATAGGATCTTAGTGAATGTTGATTGATTTAATTTGATCTTGGCACAGCCCACCTTTAAAGTGACGTATACAATGAATGGTACATGATTCTCACCAGGGGTGGGTTCTACTTACCTTTACTACCGGTTCACATCGCGCCCGCTTCTGTGCATGCGTAGATCACCTATGATGACATCTGGGTCAGTGGGTGGAGCTTCCCACTGGTTTTACTACCAGTTCTTGCGAACTGGTCCGAACTGGGGGCAACCCACCACTGGTTCTCACTCAAAGTTTAGCTGTATGATTCCTAAAGTTATAAATAGCTGAACATGTGTTCTGGCTCAATTTGTGGAAAACATTGTCAAATGAAACTTTCTAGCATCAAGAAGGGCTGTTTCTGCTGAAGTAGCAGCAGCAGCATAGTTTCTGCCAACAAGAAGTCAATCTCAATAACTTTCATCATTCTTTGAGTCCCATTAAACATGTGGGTGGGGGAAATTTGGTAGATTGTGCTGTGGCTGGAATTTCAGAAGGCTTCTGGAAATCCCCTACTCCAAAGTTTCATCAGAATAAATTACCACAGACAGCTTTCACAACATGCAGAAAAAGGCATATTTGTGGCTTGGTGTTTTCTCCTTCTCCTCCTCTTTCCCCCACCTCCTCTTCATCTTTCTCTTCTTCCCCCCTTCCTCCTCCTCCTCCTCTTCCTTTCTATACCATTTAGTTTACAACAGAATATCAATAACAGTCTTAAAACCAGTCTCATGACTCTAGCAATGCTTGGAAACAATAAAACATCAAAATGTTAATTTATGTTGTGTGAATGGAGTTAACATGGTTACTTTACGATTCGGTGTGCCATGCAAATTGAGGCAGGTGATTTAATTCAGTCAGTAGCTGCATCAAATGGCTGTGCAAGCCAGATACTCCTATTTACTCCTGTGGCTTGGCTGCCAACCAGGATCTTGTGCCAGATGGCAGAACTCAAGATGGTCTCAAAATATATAACCTCTCAGACAGACTTTCCTCATTACTGTGCGCATTTGGACAAGAGACAATTGCCTGCTCTAGGTCGTGTACAAAAGAGAGATTGCCCAACCGCTTCCCTTTCTGCTAGAGAGAAAAAATGCTTTGTCAGTTTGAAACCAAGACAGACTTTGGAAGCTGAGGCTGCAAAGAAAAATGGACTCTTTCCATTTCCTCAACCGAAGCCTCAGAGATCATATGGGGAGTCCAGGAAGAATTGAGGCAAAGGGAAATCCTTTTCAGGAAAAATGACTGCCTTTGAAAGCATAAGAAGGAAAAATAAGAAGTAACCACTCCTTTAATTAGAATAATTGCACAAAGCTAGTTTTCCTTTTGTCTGTGTTAAGTCTATTGTCGTAAGTGGTCATTCTCTTGATCATTTGTTTTCTCTTCAGCTCAGTGAATTTGGTATTTTTATGCAGCTTGAAATCTCTTCAGCAAAGGGCTTCTCAGACCGGAAGTGATGTCGCGGCGAAACAAGTCTCAAGGGAAAGGAGCACTCTGTCCCTGCACTGGCTTCTTCTTGTTTGTGGGCTCTGGAAAGACCCTAAAACAGGAGTCAGCAACCTGCGGCTCTGGAGCCACATGTGGCTCTTTCACCCCTCTTTTGCGGCTCCCTGTCACTCAAAATATGCGTCACAACTGCCAATGTGCAACACCTGCCGGTACACAATTTATCGAGCTTTACAACCTCTGGTAGGTCAACCATGGATAAATCCAAGAAAAGAAAGGTTTCAGAAGAAAACAGAATGTAGTTTCATTCAACTACATAACTACAAAAAATAACATACAGAAATATTGAATAAGCAAAAGTTGACGATTATAATTTATGGGTATTATCAGTACAATTATATAAGTTTGTTAAAATGTAACAAATATTATTAGTAATATCTTATTTGTAGTAAAACGAAGGATATGTAGAATTTGACTGGCATGAAAATAATATGTTGGATTATTGACCAACATAATAATGGAAGAATAAAAATGTGTTATTATTACTGGAATTGTATAATTTGTTAAACACAATTAAGATGAATATTGCTTTATTTGTAAAAATATGTTTAGAAAGGGGATATTTTCTAAATATTACAGTGGCATAATAAAAAATTAGAAAGGAGAGAAATAATGGTAACTCAATTTAAATTTGTATATTACTATTGGAACTATATAAGTTTTCTAAATACAATAAATATGACTATTGGTATTGAATTTGTAACAAAAGGAGTGATATTAAGAATATAGAGACAGGCATAAAAAAAATAATAGATTGAAACATTGATAGTTACTAAAAGGTTATGAGATTGCAAATTGTATTAAATATGAAGAATATTGTATTACTTGTACTAAAATGTAAGACACTCTGGTTCCAAGCTGTTCAAACAAACTATATGTTTGTAGAAAAATAAAAAGTAAAAAACTTTGCAAAAAAAAAAAGGAAAGGACTTCTAAAGTAGACATTATGACTCCACTCAGAAACTTGTATTGTACAGGTAGTCCTCGAACCTATGACCACGATGGAGCCCAAAATGTCTGTTGCTAAGCAAGACATTCATTAAGTAAGTTTTGCCCCATTTTATGACTTTTCTTGCCATAGATGTTAAGTGAATCACTGCAGTTGTTAAGTCAGTAACAGGTGTTCAATGAATCTGGCTTCCTCATTGACTTTGCTTGCCAGAAGATTGCAAAAAGTGATTGCATGACCCCAGGACACTGCAACTGTCATAAATATGAGTCAGTTGCCAAGCATCTGAATTTAATCATGTGATCATGGAGAAGTGTGAAAGTGTGAAAGTTATAAGTCACTTTTTTCAGTGCCTTTGTAACAGAATGGTCACTAAATTAATTGTTGAAGTTGAAGAGTATCAGTACTGTAAATTTTCTGGGCGGGGTGCACTTCAAATTATGATCTCTGTGATTTTGAACAATTCTATATTTTATCTCTTTTGTTGGTGAATATTTTACGTGGGACTTCTCGGTGTTGGAAGGAGCTTATATACCTAATCCACGACTTATAATCAGTCACTTAGTAACTGTTTAAAGTTATAACCTACTTAACAACTTAACAACTGCAATCAGCAACATGGCCATATTTACAGACACTTACAGCGTCTTGTGGTCATGTGATCACATTTTATGATTTGGTTTTCAGCAAAACTGCAGCACAGTTAATAATGGGTTTGCTTAATGAATGCAGCTTTTACGTTCGCCACAAAAAAACCCGTAATATCAGGTTAATAATATGACCAACCCGTTTTGTGACTCATGACATATGAACAGTGGTGGGATTCTGCCGGTTCTAGGGGGTTTGGCCGAACCCTTTGTTAAATTTCT